TGTTCTTATATAAATAATCACTAACATTTGCAGATTCTTAAAGATGTAATCTTAAAAAAATAACTTATCTAGTGTTCATTTCAAGACTATGGATAAGACAGAACCATTGGAACAATCCTTTGAAGTGACTGGAACAAAGAGTGCTTAGTAGGCATTCAGTAAAATTATTTGTTGAATAAAAAGAGGACATTTGACATTGTTCCAAGCAAATGAATGAGCATTCAGAGTTCTTTGTAAATCAAACTCCTTCAAGGGCCAAGACATAGTTAGGCTTCAAGTAGCTCTTCCAGACAAACGTTAAGCTAGTGTCACTTAATTCCCAGGGTTTCCAATGCCTCCTTCGTAGCCAGCATAATTTCTATTCATTCTTTTTTGATTCAGCTATTGCTCATCAATTTATTCAGTCCTTATTAAATATCCCTTCTTTGCCATGATGTGTACTAGGGCACCTGTGGCATAGGTGGGGGGGGGGGAGAAAGGACCCTGTGCCCAGTGCAAGTTCAATGTGCTTTATGACTCCTTTCTCTTTTGAATCATGAACAGTAGAAGAGCAGCAGTGTGGCATGAAAAAAGAGCAACTGCTTTGGAGCCACAACCTGAGTTCATATCATGGCCCTTCTAATTAGTAGTTCTGTGGTTCATATAAACCACTTAAGAATTAGCCATAATGCTTATAAAATTTCTAATCTAGGACTTGGCATGCAAGACTTCAATAAAAATAGCCATAATTATTTTGTAAAATGGTAACCTTGAAAATATATTTTAGTTGAGCATTAAGAGATATTTGATATTACTGAATATTTTGAAAACTCTTCTGAAAAATCTTAAGTATATCCTTTCTTTATTTCAGGGATGAGTGATTAACTGCATGGAAGAAATAACTAGCTATCTGAACTAATTTAGGTATTCCATTATATTTTTAAAATTATCTTTAGGACTAATAACATGAAAATGTTGGGTTTGCCTGATATTTTCTTTTTGCCATAGACATAATAGAAACCACAGGGCAATATATCTGTAACAAATTTTGGCTGGAAAAATGAGCAACTGTCTTATATCCCACTCTACATGTAGTTTCATGAAGACAGGCTTTCCCTCCAAACATATTCATCACAGTCCAGAAACAATCAAAAATTGAGAAAAAAGAAAAGATACCATTTCCTCACCCCCCCCCCATCTTGCTCCCATAAACAGATGCCAGAAGCATCTTCAGTTTCAATACTGGGAAACAAAGGTTGTGTTCAAAAGGCTAAATAATAGTACATTAAAATTATTTGGGATTCTATGTCATTAAAGCCCCAAATTAGAATGAAATTTGTATATTTAGATAGACAATTCTTCACCTGCAAAAGACTTTATGAAGCATTATCTGTTTTCTTGCCACACAATCCCAACACAATGGCCTTGGTCCAACAACCAAGACCATTTCATGACTCCATGTTTTTTAGTCTGTTCTCCCTGCCTCGTATGAACCCTTCTGCTCCAATCCCTTGAAAACTCCCACTCATCCTTGGAAGCACTAGTCAACAGTACTCAATGAAGCTTTTCCTAAACCCTCCCAGGAGAGTTCATTATTTTAGCCTCTCTATGTCAAAGGACATCTCTTCTCTAGAACAGTGTCACTCTAGTATGTTCCCTAAGGGCAAGTCAGTTCTGAACTCCAAGTGTTTGTCACTGTGCCTGGCATATAATATGTGATACATATTTATATCCTCACCAAGAACATATTTCCACTGATTTTCTATTGACTTTTTAGAGATAGAAGAAGGGGAGAAGGGAGGGAGGGAAGGAGATGGCCAGAGAGAGAGAAACATCAGTGTGAGAGAGACACATCGATTGGCTGCCTCCCATTAGTGCTCCAACTGGGGATCGAACCTGCAACCCAGGCATGCGCCCTGCCCAGGAATATAACTGTAACTTTTTGGTGCATGGAACCGTGCTCCAGCCAGATGAGGCATGAGGCCAAGGCTGGTCAGTCAATATTTTTGAATGAATGATTTACTTGCTTGATTCTTCCACAAAAGTTCACAAGTTTTTCTAGTCATTCATATTAAATAGCTAACAGACCTTGCATAGTTCAAAATTAGCAGGACTATTATGGTTTAAATCTGTTTCCTAAATAACTATGAATATTAAAAGCCACAGTTATACATTTCTGCAACCTAGCTAAATAATGGCGCTTCTCCTCTAATTAAACTTACTTATGGTGACCATACCAGGAAATTGAGAATAGTTTGCTAATATATGTGCATATTCCAGACAAAGAGAAATTTCCATTCTTGAGGACATTCAGTAACTTTCAGGAACTTGATTTGCTTATTGTTTCAATCAGAAAACAATAATGTATATTTACTATCTGTTCTCACATTAGTTAATGAAATTGTTGTATTCAAAGGGGTTCTTCAAAAAAATTTCATCGACCATTCACTTTACCATGTGAGGACAACAGGAACAAACCTTCCCTGCTGTGAATTCATGATCCATTTTTATGCAAAGCTATGGTGCTACTAATAGTATTATAAACAACAAAAAAGCCCTAGGTATTCTGTATTGCAGATCTATGGGTATAATCGTATGCTATAGGCAGGCTGAGAACGTAATGTGTGTATCATGCAAGTTAACAGGTTAACTTCATGAACAGATATTCATATGTGATGTAGCAGTAGAGTCTATTATCCCATTAAAGTTTCTTTTAGATAGTAGTAATGTTTGTTAAGTTGCAATATGGGCAAACAGAATTCTTAACATTGAAACTACTATAGTTTCTTAACATAAATTTTTTTAGTTTTATTGTTAATTAACACAAAAATATCTTTCTGGACAACCCAAGTTATAAAGTAAATAAACTTATTTCTGCTTCTCTCTATGAGTAGAATAGGTATATGAGTGTATTTTTTTGTTTGTTTCCCAAGTACAAATCTGGAATGTGAATAGAATTTCCCTCTGTATCTCAAACATATTGATTTTTAATGTATTTTCTTGAAAACAGAAATTTTCCATCATTTTTCCTGGGCCAGTTTTCAAAAGAGCAATGGCCCTCAATGAGAAATTGAAGTGTGCATGATACACAGGACAGCATAAACCCATCAAAACTTCGCCTATTGGAAAATTAACCCATTATTTCCTTTAGTTTTAAATACATAAACAAATTTTCTCCTTGGGAATTTGTAAGTGTAAATTCCACAAAAAATATACTTCTGAAATTTCCTATTATGTAGTTGTCTGCTTTTATATTCTACTAAATAATATATCCAAAAAAGATACGTTACCAATAGGCTAAAATCTAAAATCTTGTGAGTGAGGCACAAATCAACACAGTCTGATTTCTCCTCAAAACACAGGCCCTTTCAAGGACTACATTTTTTGTAATTCCAGAGATAATTAAAAAGCAAACCCATACCCCAAATAAAGCTTTTAATTTGTTTTTTTTTTCTTTACTTAAATGAATCTTTAAAGTTCTTTGCTTAGGAAAAAAGTTGCAGAATATAATGTATATACATAAATCTGTATTTCAATTACTGCCTAAATTTTGTAGAGAAACTGAAAACAACCAACTAGTTGATGTTTTAATATGAGAGGGAAAACATTCATATTATGAGAGGGAAAAGGCATTCACTCTGCCATGAAATGAGATGGCCTTGGCTAGTGTTCCAGAGTGAGCTAGCTCCTCAGAACCAAGAATGCTAAGTGGGGCAGTGTACAAAAGAGATTCCATAGTCCAGTGAAGTCGGGAATATCAGTTCAATGAAGTTAAATAGGTAGTGAAGGACTTCTCAGAGCATTTAACATGCTAATTAATGTCCATTCTAAATCATGTCTATGTTATAATAGCAGATTTTCCCAGAACTACTTAAGAATGAAATCTTTTTGTTTTCCTTTTTTTTGTAGGGAGATCATGCCTGGGCCATTGGCCAATATATCTATACAACTACAGCTACTTCTCTTTTTCTTTTTACATTATATTTTTAATTAATAATAATAAAATACCTAGGAATAAATTTAACCAAGGAAAGATTTATACTTGAAAAACTGTAAGAAGTTGAAGATACAAATAAATAGAAAGATATACCATACTCATGAATAAGAAAAATTAACAATTGTCAAAATGTCCATACCACCCAAAGCAATCTTCAGATTCACTGAAATCCCCATCAAAATACCAATGACATTTTTCAGAAAAATAGCACAAATAATTTTAAAATTTATATAGAACTACAAAAGACCCTGAAGAGCCAAAGCAAGCTTGACAAAGAACAAAGTTGGAGGTGTCACACTACCTGACATCAAACTACACTACACTGCCATAATAATCAAAACAACATGGTACTGGCATAAAAAGAGACACATAGGTCAATGTAACAGAATAGAGAACCCAGAAATAAACCCACATCTAGATGGTCAGTTTATCTATGACAAAGGAGGCAATAATATACAAAGTGGTAAAGATATTCTCTTCAATAAATGGTGTGGGGAAACTGGACAGACACATGTAAAACAATGATTTTGGAGCACTTTCTTACACCATATACAAGAATAAGCTCAAAATAGGTTAAAGACTTAACTGTAAGACCCAAAACCATAAAACTCCTGGAAGAAAATGTAGGCGGTAAACTCTTTGACATCACTCTTAGCAATATTTTTGGATATATGTCCTTAGGCAAGGAAAACAAAAAGAAAAAAGTAAATGAGAGACCACATTGAACTAAAGAGGTTTTGCATGGCAAAGGAAACCACCAACAAAACAAAAGCCAACTGACTGCATGGGAGAAAATATTCGCCAATGATACAACTACATCTTGATGTACCTTTTGTCTTACACATATACCTTACTGGCTTTGTAGCAATATTCAGGTCCCCAAACCACACCATTTTTGGAACTTTGATGGAAGCCTTTAGCTACTTAACCTTAGTTAGAAATTTATATTTCTGTTTTGGTTTTGGTGTTGTTTGCATCGGCATTTGTTTTCTAGTTTGCCACTTGCATAGAAAGAAGTACCAACCTGAATGCTTCAAGGTACTCAATATCTCCCATGGGGGGATCGAGGCCACCTGTCCAGGCAATATTTATGTTGTATCCTTCTCCAAGGCCTGCTCCGACCTGAGAAGAGAAAAACCACACCACCGTGGGGAGAGGAGGGCACAAGGAAGAAAGCAAGAAGAGAGGAAAACAAACACATGTGAGCTCTCGAAATAAACATCAAACAACACGTCAAGCCAGCCCACCCTTGCTTGACAACCAGCACGCTGGGTTATGCACTTGTTCTGCACTGGTTCTTGCTCCCGTGGGACAACTCAGTAATCTCGTGTAATTTAAAACACCAGCAAAGGACAAGAAAATTATGGGTAATCATGCAATGCAATTACCTGAAAGATACAAATAAAAGTAGGGCTCTAAAGAAATAAACCGAACCTCATTTGGGGCTCCGCTGCCAGGGAAAAAGTTCCCTTCATCATAGCGATGGAGCGAAATATACAGGATGCTGGGGTCAGCATAAAAGGCCTGCTGTGTCCCATTTCCATGGTGAACATCCTACAGGGAAAAGAAAACAGATGACAGACACAGCAAGGTCTAACTGTGTGTGGAGACAGAACTCTGCGCCCTGATTTTGAGTTCCCTTTCTATCCCAGCCTCCTTCTCCTTTTCTGTCCTCTCCCTATGTCCTCTTTCTCTCTCTCCCCTTCAGCTTGCTTCTACACCACCCCCTTTACTTCCTGAACTTTCAGGCAAATTACCCTTTAATGCACTCATTTTTTAAACTGGCTTCTAAAAATCAGGAAACCACAGTGAACATGCCCTGGAGACTCCAGATGAGCAGTCATTGAGAAAGCCCAGTCCTTTGGTACAATTAGATATTTATACACCGGCCCTTTGTACTCTTTGCTTCAGTGATGGAATCTCGCATCCTGTTTTATGGAGGAATTTTATGACTTATTAACTGCCAACAGTTCATAACCCCTCAGGCTTAATTAACTAGCCTCATTGGCCTCTGAAGAAAGACTAATGTTTAAACTACAAACTAGTATTTTGCAGAAGGATCTATGGCTTACAGAGCATTTTCGCATTTCTTGACAGAACACTAAACATACGTGTATGCATTGATTTGCCAAGTCCCACCATTAAGGTCAAAGGCTTTGCAACCAGCTGAGTAAATTGGCTTTCTTGAAGCGTTCAGTTCAGTTAGTAATCCCTCAGCAGTTAGAATCACTTCAAAAGAGATGCCAGATGCAAAAAGGACTTCATACTTTATTTTGGTAAAATCGTGACGGCAAGTCAAAGACACAGGAGCATGAGCTCATTAGCTATTAAATCATTTGGTCTGAAGCAGAAAGATGGCATGGGGCTTTATGCAATCTTCTCCAATCTGCCTAATTTTAATATTATATCATGGCTTTCTTCCCAGCCTTCTTCCTTCCTCCTCTTTTTTTCTTTCCCCACACACTCCCTATCCTTTAAAAAAAAAAGAAAAAATACCCTTTCATTTTAATGAATAAAAAAATTCTTCAGACATGTAAATGATAGTGATTTAAAACTTAACAGTTCTTTTTTACTAATTGCTTTATCATATAGACATATGCTGGAACTGTAAAAGAAATGGGAAAAATAAAACTAGTAGCAGTTTTTAAAATGTCTTCACTGGAAGAGCTAATACCGTAACATCTTCTGAACAAAAGTACACAGATGACTCAAACGTGAGCAGTCTGTATATTTGTACTTGATACAATGTTGCTGCTACATGTGTAACATGTATAGTTTCAGGTTCTTATAAAATATTTTGGGTCACTTTTAACTATATAGAGCACTTTATTTTTTATCAGTAAGACTCACACTGTTTTCAGCAATGATTCCTACCAAGTTTTGGTTCAGGCACTACATTAAATCTTGGCATAGCTTACTTAGCAATTATGTGATGTATATGGCACTATCCCTATGGTATTTTAAATCGGTAAATTAAAAATTTACTAATTTAGAAAAAGTAAACTCAGACTCAGAGTTTCAGCAATTTACTAAGGCGATACAAAGAATAATTCGCAAGACAGCATTTTGAATATACTTCTTACTCCAAAGTCCAAACTCATAACTATTGTATTGCTAACTTCCATTCATGATCTCTCTGATCCCCTTAGCAAACCTGTGAAGTGAGCCTGGTGGTCATTATTGCTCCTCATTGAAATTTACATAACTTGTCTCCACTGCAACCTCCAGGCCAGAACTCCTTCCCTGTGGTGAGCTCTGAACGCCTGCGCTGAGCTTGCTCTCCACAGTGTAGACACCCACTCATCCTCTCTCCCTTTCGTGTAGTACACAGATCAAAAATCAATTACGGAGTCAAAAAATACTGAGGAAGGTGGGCATCATTCCACAGACTTGTTCTGGTTCAAGGAATACTCATTGGGAAAATAATAGCTTACTGAAAAATATATCAATTCCTGGGTTTCTGAATGTTCAAAGAAAAGTAAAGCGAGATGGCAAAATTATTTTTCTTTACATGAACAAAATGAAACAGTTCAAGCCACAATGTCTTTTGAGATTGCTACTGGATACCTGGAGGAAGAACAAATAAAATTTTTTGAAAAACAACAGTGAAGGAATGTTTGCACATCCACTACATGACAGAATTTTTAGCCAGCATTGTAAGAAAAATGTTTTTCTGGGTGAAATGCACCCAAACTTTGAAATGCAAAAATACATACTGCCTTGATAACTTGTGTTTCTTTAGTGTTACTGTAAAAGTTTATTTAACAATGTCAAATAAAAGATGATCATCTATCTTAAAAAAGAAATCATTTGTTCATGAAAAATGTGTTGGGTGCTTATTACTGAATATATTTCTGAATAAGAAATATAGTGTTGCCCATAGCACAATGAGGTTTCAACTGACATTTTCACTGAAATTCACAAATCCATTCTAAAAATACTTCGATAATTCTTGATTCCATGTTCATATTCACAAAGTTTTTGAAGAAAAAGGCAAGACAGACCAAATGTGCCTTTTGTTTTGGTCAATGACTTATAATACAACCTTGAAAATATACATATGTTTTTTCAGCTTTCTTTGCTATAAAACACTTACGCAAAATACTTCATGTTCAGGCTTGACCTGAGGATTTATTTCTCAATGGCAACAAAATATATGGGACTGTTATAAGAAAATCATTGATAATTATATGGAAGTACTATAATAATGAAATTAACTAAATCATTAAATGCCTCAAAATACACATTGTGTATAAGATTTTCTTGAAATGCTGAAAAAATCATTTTGATATCTTTACTGCTCAAAAATATACTGAATAAGAATTCTGCATAAGAATTCAGAACCAATATGCCCTTATTAAAATGTTAAAATAGCTTTGAATTAAGTCATATATTCTACCAGCTAACATTATCACTTACAACAATTTTGTGGCAACTCTTCAGTCAAGTTTGGTGCTTGATCAAAAATGGAAATACCCCAAACCTGACATTTAAAGTGGACTTTCTTTTAAGAAGAAAGCCAAAAACATATTATTTTCCACTGGAAGTCACATCGTATAAAAGCTACCTGAGTCATGCAGGCAAATCATACTTCTAGAACAGCTTCATACCCTGAACATGATGACCAGTCTCTTGAGAGTTGAAAAGCAAGTGCACCTGCTCCCTCTCCTCGCCAATCTGAATGTCTTTGGAATCTACCCCAGAAGGAGAATTGGAATGAATAAGCTCCACAGATCAACTAGGATTACTTCTACTGAAAATATTCAATGCCTCTGCATTTGGCTGTGGCGCCCAGAAAGAGGTAGACTGGAGCTCTGGCTCTCTATTTACTAGGCATGCAAAGCCCCAGATACAAGGTGCCGGACAAGAGCGGAGCTTCGCCTGCCTTTGGCCCAAGAATTTGTGGAGCTAGTTCACACTGATTAGCTAAAATTAGTGACTTTGGATATTCAGGAATGAAGTTCTTTTGCTATTAAAGAGCCTTCAGTTCTCCTCTACTAACTTGCAGGACAGACCTGTCAGCCAGGGGGAACGGATGTCTCAGAGCCACGTGGCACTTTAAAACTTCCTTCTCGGCAGCTGGAAGGAACAGGGGAATTTCCTCAAAGTCTCCCTGCAGCTGCAGAATTTGGACGACTTGAAAGTAAGAATACGCAGGCTGGTGGTGATCTCAGAGGCAACCCTTTGGACAGAACTTCATATATTTAGAAAATCTGAAACAAATACTTCTCCTCTGCTACAGCCTGCTGGGAAATCAGTATCCTTTATGATTGGATAATGGGGCAAATTCATAATCAAAGGCCAGTAATCTTACAGGATACGCCTTGGAGCTACCAAGTAACTTGCTTTATAAATCATATGGAATTATCTCTAGCAGTATTCTTATATTAATGTACAAAGACAACATGTTACAGGCAAATCCTCCCAGGTGAAAAATATCCATCTAGCCTAAGCTAGGCATTTTGGCCTTGTAGCCTGTTGTACAATTCATTACTTTAGCGCTGGGATGTCCCAAATGTGTTTTCACAGAAACTCAATGGCTGTTGATTATTTTCACAGAATCACAAAACAGTATCAGAGGAGATACCTTAGAAAGTAATAATAAAAGACTCTTAAGGATAAGATGAACAGTTTACCAATCTTCTTCCCCCATAATTTTGACAAATTTAGAAAGGTTACAAAAGTTTCCTCCAATCCTAGGTCTTCCTCTGCTATCCTTCCTTCAAGTTTTTGGTTCATCTTTCTAACGGAACTTTCAGTACTAGAAGTATACTAAATCATTTTTAATTTTCTCTCTGATAAATATGTAAACCAATAATTATTATTTAAAATGTAATTTTGTTTGTACATGGGAAAGTGCATGCCAATGTCCTCCTTCTCGTGAAGGTGTAAGACCTGGCTACTGCAGTATATCTAGGCCTTCAACACATGTCTTTAATGGTGAACTATGACCTACATTGAAACTTAAGCCTGGATGCAAAATACACGGACAGTTGGGTTTCAGTATCTCAACACCAAGTGCCTGCAGTAAGGCTACACCCCGTATGTGAAAACCAGCCATTCCTACTGAGCACTAGAAATGTTTATCAGGTTTTCATTCCCTCTATCTTCATTTTAACATAACTCAGTATTTCTTCACATGACTTTGTTTGTGCTCTCCACCCTTGCGGTATGCCTGCTTAACTGAATCGGAGGCTGGATGGTGAGGCCACGACTTCCCAGTAAGATTTAATTATGAGTGCAGATATGAACAAGATTTAGACTATTAAGCCTTGCACTTCAAAAAAAACTTTTAACATATTTTGCCTTTAAATCTTTTATCACCTGCAAAAATTAATTAAGTGCAGATGGAGCAGGTTCGCTTTGGATGCCAGGGTTCATTTCCTGTCTATGCTTTGTCAGACAACCTATTACACCTCCTCGTGAACTGGAGGCAAACCGAAAACAGGGCTCATAAATCACCAGTCAGCTCTCTCTCGCCCTTTCCTGGGTTGGTCCTTTTGTATGGGGCAGATCTCCAGCTCATTATTCCTGAGTATACTATAGACAACATGCCAAGTGTCATCTGCATTTAAACAAGCCATTTGTTAAACAAATTTTAACTCTATTGTGTAAGAATGTATCATGTTAAAATGCAAGACTAATCTAATGCCTCTGACTTTAATCACTCAGGGTCCCTGCCGGGAGTCATCCCAAACTGGCATACGTGATCTGAAATCTTTTCAGAAAGAATGACATGCTGACTTGTTTTAATAATACCACTGTTGCACAACAAGCAACATGATTGCTAACCAAGGGAAGTGGCCAATTGGTTACCAAAGCAACAACATTCTTTCCAGCACATCTGACTGTTTAAAGTCTATATTCTGTAGGGAAAAGTAAATTCAGGTTCTGTTGGGTTATTTTAACTGTGGAAGTATCAATTCATTTAAGGATCATAAAAGTTGCCCTGATCTGCGCCTTCTTCTCATTAAATTGCAGTTAACACCATGAAAGTGAAACGTGAATGTTTATGGTTTCAGAACTGCAATCCTGAATTTAATGAGTTTCCACATTCAAAGGAAACACACCCTTCAGTTGTTTGCGAGTGCTAAAAGCAAGACAACCTAACAGAGAAATACAAATTCACTCTCTTTTATCTAGAGTCACTGAAAATGCAGCTCTGGCCAGGAATACATACCAGATCTACAATCAATATCTTGCTTATATTTAGTTGGTCTCTCAAGTATTTGGCGGTAATTGCAACTGAATTAAAAAAGCAGAACCCCCTGCGGAATAGAGAAGAACAGAGAAATAAGAAAGCAAATCAGCCGGGAAAACCATTATAAATAATGTTCAGAGCATTTTAAAAAATGCTATATGATCTCTGAAGCCATAAATCTGCTTCTGGGAGTACCTCGCAAGATTTTTCATTCCATCTGCTAACAATTAGAGGCTTCAGAGACATGCACAGGGCAGGTGACTGCCAGGAACCGTGGCGCTTGGAGATGGGCAACCGTCCCTGGTACTTACATGGCTGTGGATTCTTCAGCGTGATGGCCTGGGGGCCTCACAACAGCAAATCCATTCTGTAAGAACAAGATATGGGAGGACGGCTTGAATCTCTGGGTACTATGGAGCTTCAGGCACACATAAAAAGACTGAAGGATAGACAGAGGCTTCAGAGTTTGTTTCACTGACCCATCACCAGTGCACAGAATCAACAGAAACAATATAAATGACCCCATTTTCTCAGATGGTACCTCAAAAAAAGGGCTCACCCCAGAGCCAAGGGAAGAACAGGGGGTTTGGGGGGCTGTATCTAGTTGGTAAATGTGCACATCAGCTGTTACACTAGCATAATTCATATCTGAGAGCAACTTCTTATTTTATGACACCAACATCCTACAGAGGGAGAAGAAAGTCACTCTTGGTGCAGGCTTGGATCGAAGGTCCAAAAAAACGGGGAAGATCCAAAGTGAAAATTCTTATAGCTGGATTCCCTCAATGGTTATTTCCACTTCAGTGTCAGCAAAAATGATAAATTTACACTCACACACCCACATGCACACAAAAGAAACCCCAGAAAGGTGAAAAAGAGAACAATGGAAAGCCCATATTTCTTCCAGCCTATAAATTTAGCTTGGATGGCTGCCAAGACTTGCAACTTTATTGGATTCCCTAAGTCAATTTCTAGCCTGAGTTCTGGAATTTTATAAAGAATTCCAGGGCTGAGTAGCAATCAGATCTGTCCATGATCAAGGAATGCCTTAACCTCCAGATTAGCTGGAATGCCTCACGGAAAGCTGAAGGAACTCCAGCATGCAGGCAGGGAACTATAAATCCTTGCAAAGCCAGAATGCTCAGAAACGTTGGGTTTCTTGACATGAAAAATAAAATCATTTATCAGATGGTTTACACCACCTTTCACTTAACTATGATTCGAGTGTTATGCTCCAAAGACAATGTTTTTTTAATATACAATCCTAAAACTTTTAAAATAATTTTAATATACCCTAGGGATATGTTTTCCAAATCTTACTACAAACACAAAGATAATACCAGGAAAAGTAGTCTATTCTCTAGGGCTTTCAGTATACATGAATTTTTCTAGAATGTTATGATAATCAACACACAGTGGGTCAATTTGTTATATATTTTGATAAGCACATATATAGTGATTAACTCAGAAGCAAATCAGAAGTCAAATATCACAGTATCAATTATAAATATACAAATGGCGATATACTCCCTATTCTTGTTATTAAGGTACTTACTATCTTTCTGATACCTATGATAAATATGAAAGAAACTAAAGGAATTCTGAAAATGGAGAACTCAGTAGATTCAGATGGGTGGTATGTATTTTATAGGGAAAAAACAGAGTGAAACTAATAACTATAATATAAGGAAATGCAATTAGCATGCAATAATCTTTATAATTAGATTAATATTAATAATAATCTTTTACAACTCAGTTGAAAATACTGCCTTATGGATAAAAGTAGTGGCTAGATAATACAAAGATCAATCCAGGGATTAATAAACTGTTCAATTTATATAAGTAATCAAATAAAAGCATACGAAAAGCCCAATGGAAAGACATTTTTCCCAACCAAGAAACGGAAAATTTTAAAAATACTTTATGTTGACAATGGAGTTGTGCCTTATACACTCATAAATGCTGCTTATAGGAGGGTAATTTATTATTGCCTTTTTGGAAAATAACCCACTCCATCTATCTAGAGCCTTTAAAAATATTTATATACTGTTTGAATATATAAGTAATATAATAAGTAATCTACTTAAAGGATTTTTGCCCTAAAGGTGTTAGTCACTGTGCAGACAAGTATTTATATAAAAGATAATGTTTTATTTATAACAGGAAAAATCAAAATGATCAAAGTTAACTGATAATAAGAGAATGCTTATATGAATTATGGTACATCTATACCACAGGATACTAGACAGTCATTAAAATTTTGTTATAAATAATTAGTGGAACAAAAATACTAATAAATTTCAGAAATATTAGTGATGAGAATAATATATATAGTCCAATATATTTAAGTAATGGTATTATGTGGGTTATTTTTAATATATAATTTCATGTCCTTTCCAAATGGTTTTATAACTTATTTCTTGCACTTATTTCGTAGTACAAGAAAAACATACAAGGAGAAAGTGAAGAGGTAGATTTTAATGGGTTGTGTTCAAAAAGGCAGAAAAATGATTTGAAGGGCATTCTGGGAAGGAGGAAAAGCGTGAACAATGGTTTAGAAGAAAGGATTTTGGAAAATATTATGTACAGGAAAGTAGGTCTAAATTGTGATCATTTTAAGGAACAAACTGGAAATGAAATCACATAGGTAATTAGCTAGATTATAGAGGACAAAAACGTCAAATAGAATTTGAATTCGATCTTCCTTTTTTTCTTACAGCCAGATTCCTTGAACAAAGAAAGGGTCTGCCTTTCACTTTAAAATCTTCCACAGCACCGCCATTCTCCTAAACTGCTTCTGAAACTGCTTGATTTGGGGTTGAAAAGTATTGTCTTGCTGACTCAAACATTCTCCTCAGTCCTCATGATCCACCGAAACCTTCCACCGCTCAGGCACGGTGAACCTACATGTCCCAGGTCTTTTCGGAATCACCCCTTTCCTAAGCTGAAACCTGGCAAGGCTGCTTCTCCCCAGATCTGTCTGCTCAGGTGGTAGCTCCTTCCTGACGTCTCGCAAACCCACCGGCAGCCAAAGATGGGGCTGGTGTTCTTGTTCCTCACAGCTGTACCCACCTACCCCATAAAACTCTCTGGTAAAAGGCGACTGGATCACCCAGAAAGAGAGAAGATAGAGCCCAGTGAGATGGCAGACTGAGTTCCCGGCCAGTGGGCTCCCCTTCCCACCTGTTAGTCTTCCTCCTGAGGTCCATCCCACCACCTGCCTTTAGGATCCCATCCCCTTCTGATTTTCTACTATCAGGTATGTTTTCTCATGAATGTATTAAATCCATATGAAAATTCCTGATTATATATATATTTCGTTGAGTTTTCAATAGGCTCATGTTTCTGCCATCCTGAAAATAAAATTTGATGTTAACCAAGATAATACAAATATATACATATATGAGGGGGGACCCTGAAAAAGTGGAATTCATTTGTAAGAAATTGTTTATTTATTTTGACATGTTTCAATATCTGCCACCTACAAAGTACTTTGCATTTGATGCCATACACCTACTGAAATGTTCTTTCCACTGCTTGAAACAGTTTTTTAACTTGCTGATTTTGATGCCTTTTAGTGCTTCTGCCAATTTTGGTTTCACCTCTTCCACATCAGCAAAACCATTCCTTTTGAGGAGTTTTTCATCTGGGGAAACAAAGAAAAGTCTCTTGGGCAAGACTGAGGGAATTGGGAGGGTGGGGCACGAGGGTCATGCCATTTTTGGTCAAAAACTGCTGAACATTTTCAGCAGTTTGCACAGCTGCACTCATAAATCACCCATCACGAAATGGGCAAACACGTTCAAAGAGTCTTCAAAAAATGTTCACCAAACCTGAATGCAGCCTCTCTCAACAACACCAGCTGGTGAACTGACACAGACAGGTTTCCAGAACATTCACTTAGTGGAGGAAGCCTGTACTAAAGGGGCCTGCTTACCAGAAGATAATTCCATTTTGGGATTCCCCCCTCACATGTAAAAAGTGATATATCTATCTTTAGTCCCACTGAACCCTCCAACTACCTCAATTATTTTCTTCCCCTTCAGCAACCCAAATCCTTCAAAGGGTAGTCTACCTTGCTTTTTCATTTTTCCTTTTCCTCACTTCTGCCTCTGTCCCCAAACTCTACTTTCTCTTCCACACCCATTAGTCCACTAAAGAGCTTTTACTGTGGTCACCAATGGCCTCTATGTCACTAAATCCAATGACATTTTTATGGTCTCAGCCTATTTGGTTCTTCATTAGCTTTCAACACCATTAGCTACACCTTCCATTTTAAAACTCTCATCTTCTGGCTTCTGTGATTTTGTACTCTCCTGGTCTTCTTACCTGTCTTCCTAATCAGTCTCCCTTGAAGGTTCACAATCCTCAGCCTGCTCATTAAATACTGAGGTTACTCAAAGCATCATCTTTGACTTTTCTTCTCTTTCCACTCATACTTCCTAAGCAATGCAACTGCTCTCATTAATTCGATTACCGCCTATCACCAGATACTTCACAGATTTCTTTTTCCAGGATGAACCCTCCAATGGGCACCAGGCCAAAACAGCAGCCTAGTATTCATTATCTGCACTTGGCTATTCCAAGGTCATTTCAAATTCAGTACATCCAAGATAGAACTCTTGATCTTCTCCCAGCCTTCTCTAACTCGCCAATGTTACCATGACTCATTCAGTGTCTGAAGTCAGGAGCCTTATCCTGAGCTATCCTTAATGGCTCTCTCTCCCTAGCCTTCCTCTATTGCACTTTAATTCATGACCAATTCCTGTTGATTTTGCTTCCAAATGCCACTCAAATCTATGCACTTATAGTTATATCCATGCCTTGAATATTTGGCCATCTGACTGCCTTTCTTTCCATCATTCCTCCAATAATTATTTTTGGTACTTTTAATAGTACCAAAGCTAAGTGGCTAAGCCACATAGCCACTTTTAATAGCCACTTCATTCAATACCGTAATTTCTCAGGTCTCTGACTTGTCACCTTCAATAAATTTGTCTTCTGTTAACAGTCATACTTATATATCTTACCATTACTGGTAGGACATCTCTTCCGTAATCTCAATGTCAAACATTCAAATATCGCACTCTCCTCATATCCTATTGTCTAGTTAATGCTTCAAGTGCACTGAGACCTTCAATCAATTGACCTTACTTAACTTTTGCTCCCATTTGTCCCTCCACCATGTTCACTGCCCTCCTTCTCTCGGCTTTAGGGTCCATTATATTCAGTTCTTGGATGTACTTTCAGATACCTTATCCCTTTTTCCCTTCAACATACTCTCCTGATCTTTTTACTCTGCTCAGGCTACCCTAATGAAATGCCAAAGTTCTGGGTGACTTAACAACAGAAGTTTTTTCTCTAGTT